GTTGACAGGAATATTGTGTTTAACTGGCTAGCTTAGTTCAAGTGTGGATAATTCTTGAGCTGGTTTCAGGAACAAAAGGTAAACTGCAGTGTAATGTACTGTTGTACATATTACATATTGAATACAAATTACATTCTTATATTTTGTTTTTGCACTCTAAAGAAAAATGTCTTAAACTTGGAAATTATCACGAAGCAATTACACGAATTCCTCAATTATTTCAAGTTCATGTTAAAGTATCATACATATCAAGAATCAAGCAACACCATCAGGAGAACCAAATTAAGTTTAAGAAAAAATGATACTGAAGTAGGCCATCAGTGATGAAATCCATGTAGCTATGGTCAACAAACCTGTTCAACAGCACAGAATATATGAGCATCATCCTGCTGAAACCTACGAACTCTGGTTAGTCCAGACAGTGCTCCCGATAGCTCATTTCTGTGAAGAACACCGAAATCTGCCATTCTCAGAGGAAGTTCACGCCACGATCTTGGTCGGTGGTCAAAGATGAGACTGTATTAAAATATCCATACAAGTTTCATGTACAGTTGGTGTACTCATTATGGAAAAAATATGGTAGGAAAAACAGACGTACATGATTTATACTTATGTATTTGTGAGGAAGGACAATCTAATGACAAATATTCATTAATTATTACAAAGCACAGGAAAAATATTTTGACATTAGTGAAAAATTTGGTTTCTTGCAATATCCCATGGATACATAATTTACTTACATTGGTAATCAAAGAGTTAGAAATTTTAGCATACTGTTTTTATCTTAGACAGTTAAAACCTCTCTGAAGAATAAATTATCGTATTATTATCTAAATAAATACTAAGAAAACGAAATATTCGAAAAACTCTGAGCTGTAAAATCAAAGTTTGAATCCAGTGTTTACGAAGTACTGGGAAAAATACGTCTTCATATGTGGTTACTAATTTCATATAACAATAAATGCATTTTGTCTTTTATTTTCTCACAGGCAAAACAAACTACATGTGGTAATGCAGCTCAGAAACACCACAGTCATATGTTCATAAACTATCAAGAAAACAGTTTCTACATTATTCACAATAAGTATTACGTACCAGTGTCCTGGACAGTTCATTGGTTTAAGTGCAAATTTTTCCTTTTCCAATTCAAAGGAAAACATGTTTTCCTGAAAAATTTAATATTCTAGTTCAATACCAATGTTGGTAAGACAAATATATGTTTAAACAAGTATTAACTTATTTTTTTTATGGCAAGGATTATGAAACCACATTTTTGGATGAGGTCATTATTATAATTAAGGCAATAAAAATAAATAGATAAGCATCACAAGTTAGTTATTAGCATCTTTCTGTCACAACTAAGTGAAAAAGTAAAAAAAGAATATATATATTAGACAAACGTTTATGTACCAAGTGTAAGAGATTTTACTGACAATAAGAATTTTCTTCTTAGTCTTATGTGAAAAAAGCATTTTTTGTACATTTTTTGCTTAAAAAAAATGTGAAGAACTCCTAACACCAAGCAAAAATTTTTATAGGAACAAGTGATTTAGTACGTAAGTTGAAATGATAGTGAACAACGTTTTACTTGGTAAAAAAAAAAAAAAAAGCCAAAACTTCAGAACTTACAGCATAATGTTGCCAATGTCCCGAAGTTTCCCAGAGTTTGCTATTATAAATATTAGGGGAAAGTACTTCCTGGAACCCTCTTTTTCTATATTCACTCTGTTAATAAATGGAAAAAATGTTAAAAATAATTATATGACTGAAATTTTAAAATTCTGTGGTTGGAAACAGCAAAACACAATAGTAATCACCCAGCACTCAGAAAACAAATTGTTTTGAGAATAATAAGATATATGGATCACGTGAACACCAAAATCATATAATTAACCAATTATGATGTTTTATTATATAAAAATACTTTACATATTACAAAGTAATGACTAAAAAACCCAATATAAATACTGGTTAAAATTTATAGCATTTAAATGATGTCAGATTCATCATATTTTTACATTGTAGTTTGTTTGTTAAAAATAATTAACCATATGTGTACATTATTCTCATCAATATTAGATATTTAATCTTTGTAGCCAAGTTTGGTAACATCGATCTTCCACTCACAGTTTTACTGTATTTTAACAATACTAAAACTTTGTGAAAAATGCAGTTTGGTATTTGAATAATTTGATTCTGGAGAAATTTGTAAAGTGTTTCTATAAGAAAAGAATACGTTTAGGTTGTTTAATGATATCAATAATTTTTAGATGAATGAAATAACATATACAGCCTATAAATGCTGTAGCAGAAATTTGAAACAAATTTTTCTTTCAACTTCAGATTTTAATTCCTATATTTTTATAAAAGTTCTAGATAGCTCTTGGTAAAACACAAACTTTTTTGTACAATTACTTTTATGGACCTATAAAGGAATAATTTGTAAATATTCTACAATTTCCAGTTCTAAAGTGTAATCTGACAGCTCAAGTTTTCATAAGTTTTTTCTCTGGAAACTATAATTTTATCCTCACAAAGTTACTGACAGCTCATGTTTTCATAGTTTTTCTCTGAAAACTATAATTTGATCCTTACAAAGTTACTGACAGCTCATGTTTTCATAGTTTTTCTCTGAAAACTATAATTTTATCCTCACAAAGTTACTGACAGCTCATGTTTTCATAGTTTTTTTCTGAAAATTATAACATTTTATCCTCACAAAGTTATTTCTATTTTTATGTATAATTGATTCATCCTATTTATTTTGCCATCAACAGACAAAAGAATCAGATTTTATATATTTTACATATTACTGTTTTACACTTCTCACAAGTTTGAGTTTTTGTGGTCCAAGTTTCTGTATAATTTGCTCACATGGTATGGATTTCTTTATTTTATTAGTTTTGTCTTTCACTCAGAAAATATAGCTAAAAAATTACAAAGATTCTACATCTAAATATTTTTGGTGAAAATTAAGAGCAACACAAGTATTACTAAATTCATTGATATTTCATTCACATACTCATTATATACTTTAGTCCTTTTTGATGATGTTAATCATAAAGAGACCTTTATCTCTCACAAAATATTTGTTCATATTTAGATTTAACAATAAAAAAAAAAAAAAAACAATTTCATAGGGCTTATATTATACGAACACATATTCAATCTATCAAATTCGACAAAGAACCAGTATCATTAAAATTTAAAAAAGTACTTTGAGAGCAGATAGAGAAAACATCAAAGGATCACGTTTCATAGATACATTACCCTGATGAAGTCTATAAGTGTGTTGTAGATGTGAGCTCCACGTGGTTGAAAGAAACAGCTTCCAGGGCTGAGCTCATGGAAAAAATACAATTCTTGATCCTGCACAAGTATAAAACAAATGTTGTAGGAAAGTGTATCAAAATAGAAGGGATTTTCACATCATTTTAATTGAAACTTGAGAAAAGTACTTCCTGTTAAAAAAAAAAGTTCCATAAAATGTCACACTCAATTCCTTAAGAAGGTATATCCAGATGCATGATGTTACAGTGAGAGGTGCATGCTAATTGAGCACAAAATTTACAGTTTATTTAACATATTTGAAGCAGGTAATTTCAATAAAATGTGCTATACAATGTTTAGAAATAATATGATTGTTTGTTTTGTTGTCAAGCACAAGAAGCTACACAATGGCTATTTTTGCTGTGCCCAATACAAGTGGTGAAATCTGTTTTTTTTGTGTTATAAGCCTTCAGACTTACTGCCAAGTCAATGCCCAATACAAGTGGTGAAATCTGCTTTTTTGTGTTATAAGCCTTCAGACTTACTGCAGAGTCAATGCTGAATACAAGTGGTGAAATCTGTTTTTTGTGTTATAAGCCTTCAGACTTACTGACGAGTCAATGCCCAATACAAGTGGTGAAATCTGTTTTTTGTGTTATAAGCCTTCAGACTTACTGCCGAGTCAATGCCCAATACAAGTGGTGAAATCTGGTTTTTTGTGTTATAAGCCTTCAGACTTACTGCCGAGTCAATGCAGTGCAGAAATAATTTGAATACTAATGAAATATAATGAAAGCTGCATTTAAATAATTATGTATAATTCAAGAGTTCTATTCATTTCTAGTCTGACTGTCAGAAAAATGCAAACATTAAGTAAGATTAGTGTCAGCTGTGACATACAACTTCCATTCAGGTTCGTGAAGGTTTAGCTAAAAACCACCTGGAAATGATAAGTTAAAAAAATTGGTTTAAAAAGTTGTGTAATAGAGGGAAAAAAAAAGTAATATTTCAAAATCCTGAAAAAAAAATCCCAAAGTTCAATTGATTAGTTCAAACAAATGATTTTCCAGTAAAAAATACTTTTGTAAAAGTAATACATTGTTATTTCACTTACAATTTTATACATTCAATTTAATCTTCAGAAGCAACTGTCCATGACATACGATTTGTTTGTTTTAGAGTAAAGCCACATTGGATTATTTGCTCTTTCCACTGCAGGGAATTGAATCCCAGATCTTAGTGTTGTAAATCCATAAACTTACTATTGTCCCACCAGGGGACCCGAGACATATGAAGTCATCCTTGTATACTTGTTTTTAATTATGCACAAAGCTACACAAGGGCTATCTGTGCTCTGGCCACCACGGTTATTGATATCCGATTTCTAGCGTTGTAAGTCCGCAGACATACCGCTATGCCACTGGGGGGCTCCTTGTACACATTTAATCAGAAACCATTCTAACACTAATGCTTTACTACGGATTTCTATAACGAAGTTGTTTTTTCAACTATTAGTAGATCATTGTCAGATTTTACTTATGACAATTTAAAAGTGAAATAAACATATATACGATCCATGTGAACATACTTAATGAAAAATTATTTGTGTCATCTTAATTAACATCTTTTCACAATCTTCAATGCTTTACCAGTATTTGTATGTTTTTTTTCCATTAGAATTTTGTTCCTTTATTTGTACTGAAGCTGGTAGTTAAGAGTGCTAGTTAATTAAATATGTATCAGATGTGGAGATATTTTGATTTCTTTCTCTGTTTTGAATTTCACGCAAAGCTACACGAAAGCTATCTGCGCTAGCGGTCCCTAATTTAGCAGTGTAAGACTAGAGGGAAGGCAGCTAGTCATCACCACCTACCACCAACCCTTGGACTACTCTTTTATCAATGAATAGTGGGATTGACCACAATATTATAACACCTCCACGGCTGAAAGAGCGAGCATGTTTGGTGTGACAGGGATTCGAACCCTCGACCCGCAGATTGTGAGTCGAGCACCCTAACCACCTGGCCATGCCGGCCCAGAAACATTTTGAAACAGCCTAAAAATCATCTTTAGCATAAAAAACATAAACCAGATTATTTTAAAAGCAAACAGGTGGAAACCACTGTTTTCTTCTATTGTTTTAATATCATACAAAGTCAAAATATACAAAAATACATCAACTCAACTCTTCCAATCTTTCGATGGTCTCTCTTAGCTGCTTCTTCTTGGAACTTCTGCCATTCTTTCAGCTGCTTGTTATCAGGAAATGAAATTCCATAAACTCGCTGCAGTGTTTCAGCATCTGCATTCCCCTCCCAATATGTAGAAGAGTTCTGGATAAAAACAATTAAAATTTTTAAATATTAAGACCAAGCTACCAAAGTTCTAAATTTTTATTGTACAAGCATGTAGCATTGATGATACTTACATGCATAAGACTTTGGAAAATCTTCAGAAAGCATTGCAAATTTGTGGTTACTCGCAAGGTGATGATAATAAATTTTAATGCATGAAACCCCTATTTAAATATATATAAATTTATGATTTAGTATTTTAATTTACAATTTCACGAGTAGTTTTCGTCTTATGCCGTAAGTATCACGTAAGATATCTTGAATTTTTGGTAACACGTAAAACTCCTGAAGAAGATGTAAGCAGAAATACTGAGTGATAAAACAAATGCTGTCAGAAGTAATATTTAAATGCTGTTGTCCTAAACCTCGTCTACTAATAACTTCAAGTAATAGCAGCTATGAATCAACGATTTCAAGCAAAACAGAATTTACAAATAATAATGAACAATGTGCACAGAAAAAAATTGCAGTGTTTTTAACTAGTTGGTTATGGACATAATCACCACATCTGTCGTATCCTTCAGGTCTAAACATTTCTTGATTTTTTCAACTGAAATATATTTCCTAAATTGAAATATGTAGAGAAAGTTAATACTTGATACCTTGAAATATATTACGTTATTTCACCATTACTTTGTCTTCACATATTACAAACTACGTACATAATGATATGGCTTTTATCAAGTGAAATCCATATTATGCACTTTTAAGGTTATGAGGAGTAGATTAATTTTGGAGAAACTAGTTTTGCTCTTGTAGTTCCATTAATAAAACTTGTCACCTTTTAAATGTTGGTAGATTCATTGTAACAGCTCAGAAACAAAGTATGACTTGGTAAATTGAAGTAACCGAGACCTACCTTGGTAATCTGCAGGGCTTTTACTTTACCAGTATGTCTAACATGAGGGCCACGACACAAGTCAATCAGAGGACCACATCTGCAATACATAATTTCCTGCTGTATATCATTTGATTCAACAGCATTTCAAATGCAAATTTCATATTTTTAAACTTCTTTTTTAAGTATTTTACTACATAACTGTGCATAAAGTTACTATAACATAAGAGATTATAAATAATTTTATAGGTGTGTACTAGATAAGTTTTAATAATTGGGTTAGCTTTAATATTACAAGCATACTTGACACAACTAGTGAATGTTAAACTTATAAATAAAGCCCTACATCCAGAGAGTCATATATACGTTACCGATAAACAGTGGTGGTAGGAGATTTCACCTTTTCTTCCAAGATACGAACTTTGAATGGGTTATACTGCAGATATAGAATTGACGAAATTAATGTTTTGACCAAGGAATAAAATGAGATAAAAAAAAAAAACAATTAGAATTTCCAATAACTATAAAATAAATTAGAAATTTCACATGCATTTAATTATAGCTACCATAATAACAAGAATTAAAGTAGTAGAATCATCTATTTTATAATCTAATTTACAATAAGTCAATAAATATGTTAAAACCACCTGAGATTGAATGAGGATTATAAGTTTGAGAAATTAGAACTAACACATATAACAACTAAATGTTGAGTAGGTCTCCTAAATAAGGCTGAAAATGTTCTATCAAGGTATATGAAATTAAAAACATCTGTTGTTACAACAGCATACGTATTAAATTGACCTTTAACCTTCAGAGTCACCTGTATTATTTATACACAACTAAAACCCTTGAATGGTGCAAGACAGTTGTTCTTTCTATACATTTGGTTTGACGTTTGATAGTTATTTTATCACTAAAATATAGCCTTACAAAACAAACTCAGTAACCATTTTACCAAATCCCATTCAAAACGTTTTTTCTCAGTTCTACTGATAACTAATAAGTTCAACAAGTGTTTGTTTGATGTACCTTCACAAAAAACATTATCTGTGTACTACTATAGCAGAATGTCTAGAATACTTGGTGAAAGTTTGGAATACAAACAACAGAGGTACTTACGCAAAACACGTGAATATTGAAAACGCCTTAGGCTCAAAGTGAGTAGCTAATTAAAAACGAGAGGCTCATGTCTAGGTTTTGAGACATTACACTGGAAGCTGAAAATGGATCCACATCAACTGAAAAACTAAGTTGTGGCAACTTTAAAAAACACAGCAAAAAGTACACATGATGAGGAACCAGTTGGCCTTCTAAGATGGTCCTTTTCAGGAAATCAAAGATTTTTTTCATAAACACTTGTAAAGTGCTGGCCAATACAACCATTAAAAGAAACTCATTTCATAAGCCTATCTTAACTGGAGCCTAGCCTGTCTATATTAAACTGTCTTCAAAATATAAAGCACAAAGAAATAAAGAGTCCTTTATTCTATCAATCCCCTAAATAATCTTGTAAACTTCAACCACATCACCTTTTACCCTTCTTGACTCAGGAGAAAATAAGTTAAAATATCCTATACTATATCTTCCATCACTTAAATCATCCTGGTAGTACTTTTTTGAACCCTATCCAGTAAGACAATATCCTTTCAACTCAAAGCTGCACAATGTATTCCACATGGGGCCTAACTAGAGGGATATTTAGCTCTTCTGACTTGTAATAAACATATCTTAAATACACCATAAAATTCAGTCAGCTTAACTACTAGCAACAGAACATAATCTCTATGACTTGATTAACTTTTCTACTTTTATGTCAATATGCTAAGGTCTTGTTCTCAAATCATGCTACTGAGTGGGTTCTCATCTATATTACACATGTGATCCAAATTAGGATAACCCAAATGAAGTACCTAGCAATTACAATAATTAAAGGTCATCTGATAGATATTTGTCCAAATTACCCAAGTCACTCTTTAGTACCCTAACATCTTTCACTTAGGGTTTAAATTTTCAAGCTTGAAATAATTATTAATGAGGATATTCAGTTGAATAAAACTAATTAATAATGTTAATGGTAGCCTAATTAATAAGATTTAACAGAAGCCAACCTTGAACATCTCCAACAAATCCTCTTTTGACAGCTCTAGTCGTTCGAATGGCTGCTTCTCCTTCACAATGGATTTGACAACACCGTCAAGGGCCGGAAAGTCCGAGCTGGAGATTCCCTGATCCTCCAAGTACATATCATAGTAGAAACCACTGTCAATGGGAGGGCCATAGCACAGGAAACCTCCGTATATACGTTCCATGGCTTCTCCCAAAATGTGTGCACTTGAGTGCCAGAAAACCTGTTGACCTGTTGTAAGCATGTGAGAATTTAGTATATCTTGTTCTCATGAAGCTTAGCAAAATAATCATCATAAAGACAGTAAATGTAAGTATTATATTTCATGTCACTTGACATTGGAAAATGAAATTTGGTGATTCTAATGTTTACGGGAAAGAAGATTAGCACTGAAAGTGAAAAGCACATATCTATTCTGATGCTCTGTTGTTGAAAATTTGTAGACTATTAATCATTCTAAAATACAAAGAAAAACTATACTATTCTGGCATTATCCATGAAAACAAAATCAAAGTTACAAAATATTTTCTATAAGCCTTGGTGTATGTTTAAATATATAACACATACGAGTATCAATAAGACATTGAGGGATAGGAGATTTCCACAATAATAGTCTATATAATTCAGAAGAAAACTTAAAAAACAACTAAAGATATAGTACTAGAGCAAAAGAAATTCTGGAAGTTATTGATCTGATTGTGAATAAGCTAAAATAATAGCTGCATACAATAAGCATCTATTCTACTGTACATGAAGGCAGTATTATGTTTATGGCAAAAAAAAAGAGGATGGTTTCTACTCTTCTTGTAACACTGTTTTGTTGATTTGCATTCATCTATTTTAATACACATTATCATTATCAATACAGGTACATTCTAGTAAGCGTTAAAGCAACTGTTGATAAAGTGTATATCACAGTGTGTACACCACAGAGAAAATCCAAACTAAACAGCTGTTGACACTGTATGTACAACATAGAGAAAGTCTAAGCTAAACAACTGTTAATAAGGTGTATATCACTGTGTTTAAACTACAGAGAAAGTCCAAACTAAACAGGTATCAACAGTGTATATCATTGTATGTACACCACAGAGAATATCCAAGCTAAACAACTGTTAATAAGGTGTATATCACTGTGTTTAAACTACAGAGAAAGTCCAAACTAAACAGGTATCGACAGTGTATATCATTGTATGTACACCACAGAGAAAGTCCAAACAACTTAAACAACTGTTGAAAGTGTTCGTCACTGTGTATACATGATATTAGATGTCCAGATAATTGTTAACATCAGATGTTTATCATTAATAGGTGTACACTCGCAAGGAAAATCAGACTAATTCCAGTGATACTTTCAAGTTGTACATTAAAACTCAGTTTTATAAAAGTATCTTACCTTCCTCACTATCAAACTTAAGCAACTCAAGGTTACAGTTATCTTCCAGAGGCCTGTCCAAATCCCAGAGCACACCGTTCACTTTAGCTATCACTGTGTTGTCGGCTAAGCCCTGACTGAAGATTTTATTTCATCAAAAATAGTAAATAAATAAAACAAATGGCAATATCAACCCTGATTCTTTGAGCCAAACCTTAAATAGTTCTTTATGTTGTGTTTTAGAAAATGTATGCTGACATATCAGTTACCAAAACATTTTGTCTCAGTAAACTTTAATATGAATCTTAGAAAACTAAATGAAACCACAATATTAGCATATTACCGAGGTTAAAATTTATGCTAATCAAGGTTTCAATGTCCATAAACACAGCACTATCAACAATAAAAGGTTCGAGTCAGTTCTAAAGTGAGGAAGTCAACACTTAAATTTCACACGGTTATTGAAAAACCAGTATTCCTCGTCGCTGTTGAAATTACATAGATTTTAAATTATGTTTTCTTGAGGTTTTTATTATTATTATATTTTATTTAATAGAGAAATCTTAATAATTAATTTATAAAAATTTTATAATACATTCCACAAACACTAAAAAAACAACACTATTCAAACTAAGTATAAGAACATTTTATTAACTTGAATGTAGATGGTTACTTTGTGATTGTGACCAACATTTTAACTAATAGAGATTCCAATCATCTGTAAAATAATCCGTACCTTATCCCTTGTGCCACTTGGTATGGTGTGGTATGCCACGATTGAGCTTCAACAACTTTCCCATTCGGAAGGGTAATCTTGATTGGTTCGGACTGCTTTTTTGCTAGCTCTTCTTCATATTTTGCACGGAACTGATTCCACAACTCAATTCTGTCCTGGATGTAGGATGGCCATGGATTTAGCTGTAAATTTTGTGTACAATAAATTATAAAAAAAACTTGGATATATATATATATATATATACACTAACTACAGGATTTTTTGACTAATAAATATGTGAAGAATGATTGAGCAAAATAGATTTATGTTGGACAGAAACCAGAATTAAAGTTAAAATTTTATGCTATTAAGTGTGTACCACAGGAAGGTTGAACTAATTTGGGAGGGAACATTTGTCTAAATTATATCAAAGTTTTAGTCAATATTTCATAGTTAATGAAGAAAACATGATCTGAGGAAAATTACAAATGTATAACCCCAACTGATAAACAGATAGGGGAAGTGAAGACAATCTGTATCTCAATTACTGAACTTGAAGTAAAATCAATAACTGTTGTCCATATAGCACATTCTGAGTCAATATAAAAATGATTCATCCACATTGAAAATAATATTAAAAAAATTTGGTAAATAACTGAAAAAAACAACAAGAAACAAGGCAGAAGCACTGTACGTTTTATATATTTTTAAATGTGATCATTCATAGGAAAATCTTTTACTACTACTCAATATTCTTGTTTTACCCTTTTCACTGTTTTGTGGTTCCTTAATCTTCTGAAGTTTAGATCAAATTTAAAAATATTAATTGATAAAATTCAAGGAAACTTGTACAAATATTTAAAATATATTAAAAAACTCAATGATCAATGTTGTATAATATACAATGAAAACTTTATTTAAAAACTGATCAACAGTTATGAACTTAAGCACATCTCTAAGTATCTTCATGTAAAATTATACTATTCAAATTATAGTTAATTTGAAAAAGTTTCTAAATGAGAACTTGCAAAAAGCAGATACAAAATTCAATATATATGTACATACAACATTAATTTTACTGTAAGTACATACCTCAGACATCTTATTTTCTGTTATTTCCTTCTTGGGTTTAGATTTGACCTGAAAAGTGTAAAAAAAGCTAAATGATACAGGTGTTTAAATTAAATAAATAATTACATCTTAAATAACACTTAATACAAAGTACTTGTGAACTCGTGTTTGTTGTTGATTTCAATCTCTTATTCTATATATTACAACCAATTGTCTGTTGAAACAATTTTATTCAGTATAGTATTATAAGATATTCTAATGTTGAATAGGTTCTCTTTAATTATTTGTTGAAAATGATGTGAAGTCCAGTTCAAGTAATGATAAAAAATAATTTTATTTCTTTATTGTTTGATATAGACTACTTTTAGTTTATTTTCACAGTTATAGGCCTAAGTTCACAAATAACATTTTCACTTTCCAAACAATATATTTACCAACCCACTGATTGACTTCTTAATCTGCTAACACTAGATATACATGACCACTCAACAATGTCCCATTTACTTCTCAACTGAAAACTTCACTGAACTAACTGCTTACTCCTACTTGTACTAATTGACCCATGTCTAGATATTAGTCAAACTTACTAGATCTTACTTCATAAGCCCTCTAGCTAAAAATCTAAATTAAAACAATAATTTCTGACCTTAGTAATACACAAATATATACCTTAGTAAAGCAAATTTAGCAAGTATGTTTTATTTAATATACAAAGCACATAATAAATAATGTGTAAAATATATTTAACTTGAACTATTTAATATTGAATACTATCAACTATAAGTCCATACTGAAAACTAAATCACTTAATGTATAAAACTTCAAACTAGATTTGTAACTGATTAATTGAATAATACTAACATTACAAGTGGTACTTTAAACACACAATACTATTACAAGAGTATTAAAGTATTCGTTTTAATGCTTTTTTTCTTATTCATAAAAAATAAAAACAAAGAATAAATAAATAGTAGTAATAATAATAATAAAGTAAAAAAGTATATAATTGTTGTAAACATCTAATTCACAATTGTTATTTTCATTAACAATTTCCAGTTTTAAGTTTTTCTTAATTATTTTTTTAAAGAGAGTCTAGATTGTTATGCAAAGAAATTAAATTTATTATGGCATTTATAATGTTTTACTACTACTAGCTTAAGGCCTTTATAACGATTTACTAGTTTGAAATATTTCACTTTGTAATATGAGCAGCTGTAATGTATGTACACTGTATAGTGAAAAATCATGACGATATTTACTTGACACCTCGTTTTCAGTATATTTCTACTACAGTCCAAAAGAAATATTATTAAAGTTAAACTTACAATTATGAAACGTATTTAACTTTTAATGCCCCTTTCTCCTGTTATTCTAATTTCAAGTTATTTTGCGTCAACAGAACTCTTCAGAACTTATTTTTTAATTTACCTGTTAGTTTTATTAATTTTTAGCAGGAGATCTTACCAAGATTCCCAAGACTATTTTTAAAATTTAACAAATAATGCCACATATCTCTCCAATAGTAAACAAATTACCATAATTCGATAACACAACTACAATAAATTGGCAATGACTAAATCTAAAGTATGTAGCCTAATGTATAACAAGTGCAATCTCCCTCGGTATTTCGTCATCCCTAAACACGCTAACGACTAGCAGTAGTACTACACTACCGCCGAACCGGTACAAAACCGAAACAAAGTGAAACCTTGCACTAAAAAATATTAATTTGTCCACCTACGATTTTAACACTTTTGACTGTATGGTAGCGATGGTGAGGAATATTTGGGGGACGTAATCTCTTGAACATACAAAACAACTTGAATCGGTAAATCATCTCTTAAAATCTAAACAAATATATATAAAATGAATGAAAAATAAGTTACGATCTTCATGCCTTATCTTGATCAGCAAGCTTTACTTCATCCATTCCTCTCACCACGTCGTCAGCCATGTTTGCATTTAACATAAAAGAACGTTAGAAAATGTGAGAAGCCACGTATAATAAAGAGAAAAAAAATTGAACAAATTATTTAAATAACATTTTAAAGAAACATTTCTTTAAATAATTAGAGTTTGTGGAAAAATATATATTATTATTATTATTATCATCTATAAAACATGATATAAAAAGATGTATTAAAAATGCGAAACGACTAACTAAAAATTATCTATGACTTGCCTACATGTATTCATGAGATTGTGTGTGTCAGATCATCAAAATATATCACCATACATATGTCTGTCATATATTCCCAAAAAGTTATTTTATAAAATTTTATTTTTTTACTTCTGAGGATAGAAATATTAGATTATGTAAAAAGAATATAAATGAATTATATGTCTAACTACATCAATTTATTGTAATGCGGAAGAAACTGCAATTTATAACACAAGAATTAATGGGGAACTTCGAAATCTTGGATTTATTGTAACGTCCTATTTTTTATTCATTGTTTTTTACATTTCCTATACTTTTTCAAAAGTTTCGCGAAATAATATATCATCTATTTCATTTACACCTGTTGGTTTTCTTCAGAAATTCGCACAAAGCTACATAACTATCTGAGCGTAACTGTCTCTAATTTTAAACTGATAGACTAGAGGGAAGGCAGATAGTCAACACAGCCCGCCACCAACTCATGGGGTACTTTTTATCAGTGAACAGTGGGATTAATAGGTCTGGCATGGCCTGGTGTTTAGGGTGCTCGACTCGCAATCTATGGGACACGTATTCGAATATCCACAGCCGAACATGCTTGCCCTTCCAAATTTGGGGTTGTTATAATGTAATGGTCAATCCCATTAGCCGTTGGTAAAAGAGTAGCCCAATAGTTGCGGTGGGTGAGTTGATTAACTGCCTTCCCTCTATTCTATCCCTGCTAAATTAGGGACAGCTAGCGCAGATAGCTTTCGTGTATCTTTGCGTGAAATTCAAAATACACCAAACCCTATAGGGTTTTTATTCATATAATTACAATAAACTATATTCTAAAATACGTTTAATTCTATTAATACGTGTGAAACTATAAAAAATGAATATTCACAAACTCATTACATCCTTTGCGGCTTTCAGTGTTTGTAAGGAATCTCTTCTAACAATTTATTTTACGCAACAAAAAGTTTGAAAACGAGAAGTTTCTCAACCAAGAAAAACGTTGTTTACAATCTGCGTATAACCGACACTTTCGCCATCTGTTAGTCTTTAATGACCACAGAAGTATATATTTAATGAATGATAAAAAACGGCAAGTTATAAATATCGAATGCACTACCGAGTTTTGTTAACAATAACAAGTACAATTCTTTTTCAAGTTATATCGGTAGTTCATTTTATAGTTTCATAAAGTTCGGTTATATTTAGATTTATAGAGTTATTTAATCCTTTTATATTATATGACTTTGCAAGAAAGATAAAAAAATAATACATGCATTTTGTTTCTCTTTTCTGATTCAGGCTTTATAAATCCTTTGTTGAAACCACCTGGTCGTAGGTATTTTGGTGAAAATAGGACTTCAGGAAAAAAAAAGAGTAAAATCTCAAATAGTGAGAGCTAAGCCACTCTTTATTACCCCGAAATACAGTATTTATCATTTGATATTCATATATCACAGTAACAGAATATTTAAACAACATTGCAATCTGTGGTGAGTATAGATAGTAATGTAAATTAAATGTTTATTCTTTTAGTAATTCCTCTGATAATTTATATTTTTAATTAATTTAATTTATCAAATAGAATATAACCAATCATTCAAAATGGCCGACACCAAAATTTGTAAATATTTAACTTGTTCTCATGAGTGTCCCTTCGAAGAAGAGGAACTGATTAGAATTTTCTAAACTGTTCTTTGTACTAAAGCGCAAACCTATACAATGGACTATCTGCATTGTGGCACCCACAAGGAATCGAACCCCGAAGTTTAACGTTATAAGCTCTTATTTTCCAAGCTATACTTATAAACAACATAAGCATGATTATATATCTGTGTTAATTATTTCTTCTTTTTTTTTCCATCAAAGGTAAGATTGAAAAGACCTAATGCTTTTGTTAATTGGCCGTACTCTCTGCTTTGGTGAAAAAAAAAATATACATATACGCATATACATATATATAATCATTAAACAGTTTGCCTTCTGTATAATACAGAATAATGGATTAGGTGCAACGTCATAACGTTATTCACGTACTTAAATAAGTTTAGGTTACTGTATAGTGTTTGTTTGTTTGTAATTGAGCACAAAGCTAAACAATGGGCTATCTGTGCTCTGCTCACCACGGGTATCGAAACCCAGATTCTAGCGTTGTAAGTACGTTGTGGGGGGGGCACTTCTGTACTTATATCGCTAAAGCAGTCAGTTGTGCTATAGTTCATATAAGACTGTGTTTGGGGAACACACTTTGTGTTGTTTTCAGGTAGCATAGCGTTTGTATTAAATTTAGAACATAACTTTTTTACAACCTGCCTGTGACATAGTTTGGATTTTCTATTTCTCAATAACTTAAACAAATCATTATGCAGTATTAAATGTAAATAAGATATATGAATAAGTTCGCCCCACCTCCCCAGTGGCACAGCGGTAATTCTGAAAGCTTAGAACGCTAAAAATCGGGTTTCGATACCAGTGGTGGGCACAGCAAAGATAGCCCATCGTGTAGCTTTGTGCTTAACTACAAACAAACGAACAAGGGTTTTCTGAAATGTAACACAGAATCAGATATCGCTAGCGTCAAGCAAACTGCTATTGTTTCCTGTATGTTTAGAATTTCCTACAGTTACTAGTATCTTTATCACCAGTCTTCTTTTGAGGTTTCAAACCAACGAAAAGTAGATGTATTCGTACTTTTCTGGTGTTAAACAATCAGGAATCTACTTTTCTCAAACACCTAGACCAGGGGTCACCAAACTTTTTTCACAGCTGGCCAGATAACTGAGAGAATGACGAACGCGGGCCGCATAGCCATTTTGTTCAATACAATACAGTGAATACACAAAAAATAAAGACAACAAACATGTTTATTTTCCAAAAAGTTATCAAAGAAGGCGACGTTAGCAATAAGATAGTTATATCACACCCAGTGCGCACATATCCGTATCTCACAAACTGAGCAGCAAAAAAGGTTTGTGAGATTTGTAAAACTGGCGTTTAGCTTTTGAGATATCATCAATATTTGCTTTGTAATTGCTGAATCCAACCAAGAGAAGTGCTTTCAAATGTTCATCAGTCAACCTCGTTCGATGTGCTGACTTCACATAATTCATTTTTGAAAATGCTTGCTCACAGACATAAGTTGTTCCAAACACTGATGCCATACCAGAGGCAAATTTCTTCAACTTTGAAAACTCATCATCA